CACCAGATACCCCCCCCGCCTCCCCAAACGTCTCGACTTCAGACGCATCGGCTTTGTGCTGCAGCAGCCCCTCCCTGACAGACAGACAGGCTCCTCCCCTCCTCGAGTCCTCCTCCGTCTCCTGAACAGGACCGACACCCCTGCTGACATCATCACCGCCTCATCTGTCTCCATGACGATCAGAGAGCGAATCAGATGCCACTATCAGACCCTCACCAGCCTGAGGAGGAAGTCTTCACCTGACGAACTGAATGGGGGAGGAGCCAGGAGGAGGGGTCATGAATATGCTGTAACCCCTCCCACTGAATGCCACGCCCTCGATTATGTAACCAGGACCAATGCTGAAGAGGAGGAGAGCGAGGTCCTCCTGGTTCTCTCTGACTCTTCACCCAACTCAACAGGAAGTGAGGAGGCAGAGTCAGAGAGGGAACAGGAAGTGACATCGACGCCATGCACAGCCGATAATGATGATGATGAGTCCTTCCTCCTGCTGCAGGTCTGAAGTGTTTTAGATTTGATGTTTTATACACGTCTATAAAAAACACATTTATGACAGTCTGTCTGTGTGCAGGAGGCTTCAGGTGATGAAGATGATCAGAGACAGACTGAGGATGACGAGGTGTTTGCTGAGGACTATCTGCTCAGAGTGAGACCCGTCTGTGGTTCAGTAACTGTGTCGGTGGATGCCGTCTGTCCTGATTTCCTGTTACCTGACTTCCTGTTTCCTGACTTCATTACCTGACTTCCTGTTACCTGATTTCCTGACTTCCTGTTACCTGTCCAGGTATGTGAGGCGGTCCAGGTGTCCCCGGGCGTCCCTGACCAGCTGCTCCAGGTTCTGAACCGGTGGTCCTCGTCCTCAGCAGAGCTTCTGTTCGGAGGTCTGAGTCGAGTTCTTCGTCCGTGGCCTCAGCTGCTCAGAGACTTCGCCGCCTTCCTGAACCGCCAACAGGCTCGCCGCTGTGGGCTAGTGGGTGACATCGCTGTGACATCATCGCTGTGACATCACGGTGCTCCACAGACCCTCACTCTTCTTTTGTGGTTTTGTTCCTCAGCTGACGGAGCAGCAGCTGTTTGAACGCAGCCGGAGGTTTCTACGGCGACTGGGGCGGAGTCTGGGAGAAGACTCCTCCCACTTCCGGCAGGTGGTGTCGGTGCTGCAGGGAAGCTCCACCCCCTCACCTGAGGACATGGTCAAGGTGTTTCTCTCTCCGTTTGGATCAGAAGGTTTAGTTTGAACTAAAGAATCTAAATGTTAAATAAATCTTCTCAGATCTCGACTCTCCTCAGACGACACACACACCTGCACCGGGAATTCTGGGAGTTCTTCCAGCAGCTTCACGGCTCAGAAACGGACTACGTGTCCCAGAATCCTCCTCTCCATGGCAACGGGAAGAGAGTGGAGCGTCGGGAGTCAAAGGAGGCGGAGTCAGAGCAACCGGTCTGCGCCAAAAACATGTCGATGACGTCGACGGGAGAGAAAGTGGTGGAGTGGACACGGTGAGAGAGAGACAGACTTGTCTCCTGGTGAATGGTCCCCTTCTCTCTAACCTCTAACTCTTCCTGTAGTGAGGCAGACCGCTCCATCCTGACAGCCTGTCAGCAGAGAGGAGCCAATAGGAAGACATTCAGGCAGGTCTCCTCCCACCTGGGGAACAAGACCGCCCAACAGGTGAGAGGGGGCGGGGCTTCAGCTTCTTCTTCTTCTGTAAACATTAATATGTTAATTCTAGTGCTGGGCAAGTTAACGCGTTATTATCGCGTTAACGCATTCATTAATTAACGCCTACAATTATTTTATAGCGCGTTAACGCATTTTTTTATTTTGAAAGTCCGTTGCTCACTGGTAGCCGTGGAGGAAGTCTTCAGACTACTGGATGCAGCGTGTGGGAGAAGTAGAGATAAACTAAAGCAACACAAGCTAACAGATGCTACAGAGAAGTGGATACAAAGTGCAGCCGGTTAGTGTTGTGGAAGATGTCGGTCTGAGGAACGTTCTCAAGGTGCGTTGGTGTCGCGTTTGGTGTGAACACACCTTTAGGATTGCAACGAATGACGTCACGTATGAGCTTCAAGAATGAGCTAAGAAAGTTAGCGGAAATATTAACGTAAGTCAACATCCGGTTTCTTCAGACGAACATCCGGTTTACAGAATAAGATGCCAACATTGTATTCCTGTTGTACAGCGTTTCACATAGAGTCAGCATACTGAGCACAGATAGTGAAGATATGTAACTGCTACTGTGTAAAGGGAGTACTGCTGCTAACAACAACCTGATGTGTTTTAATAAGTGTTTGCAAACCAAATGTTATTGACCTTTTGTTCATATAGCAGTACTTTTAAAATAAAAGTGAGCAATACACTACTTTTGAATTAATTATTGAACTTTGCCATAACAATGCGATTAATCGCAAAAAATCCACGCGATTAAATATTTTAATCGCGATTAAATATTTTAATCGCGATTAAATATTTTAATCGTTGCCCAGCACTAGTTAATTCATATTCAAACAGGTGAGAGGGGGCGGGGCTTCAGCTTCGTCTTCTTCTGTAAACATTAATATGTTAATTCATATTCAAACAGGTGAGCCTCCGGTTCTCAGACCTGATGAATCTGTTCCACTCCGCCAACCTCCAGAAGTCCACTTCCTGTTCCTCAGAGGACTGAACGCAGGACCAATCACGGTGGAGAGCTGAGACTCTAGAGGCGGGTCTACATCAGGATGTTTGATCCCATTAGAACATTCACCCAGAACCACTGGAGGGTTCAGGGGGTGAGTCACAGGGAGGACAGGGGGTGTGGCCTCAGTGAGTCAGGGGACGGAGTCACAGTGAGGACAGGGTGTGTGGCCTCAGTGAGTCAGGGGGCGGAGTCAGTGAGGACAGGGTGTGTGGCCTCAGTGAGTCAGGGGGTGGAGTCAGTGAGGACAGGGGGTGTGGCCTCAGTGAGTCAGGGGACGGAGTCACTGTGAGGACAAATGACATTTGAATCATTTAGTTTCCAGTTCTTTTATTTGACAGAGTGGATGTTTACAGATATTTATGTTTGTTAAAGAAAACAAAGATTAAAAACCACTAATATTCCTGAGTGTCAGTCTTCCCATGATGCACCAGGGCTGAACACTCCCATGATTCCTAGCGGCCTTAATGAATGTGTTAGTGAAGGTTTTATAGATTGAATGTGAATGAATAAAGCATTGTTACATGTTTCTGTCATTTTATTTATTTAGATACAAAAATACAAAGAAGCCTTTAATAAATATACATCTTGATATATATATATAAGTATTGTTTAATGTTGTCTTCATGGACCATCTTAGGCTGTGAGTATAAGGTTTCGTAGTAATCTTTGAAGATCTTACATCACGTATATATAATGTGACCAGAATGTTATCGATCCTTCCTTTGATCATTATATATCTGAATCACTTCAAAGTGAACATATAACTTGTGTTTCGATCCTTTTTTCATGCTAACACTCTACTCCTCATGACTGGATCACTCAGGACATTCACATGTTTATATATTTATATATATTATTCCGTGGGTGAGTTGCGATATATCTGGGAGCAGTCTGACTGCCTTTAAGTACGCCATCAGCGAACCGGAAGTCCCTAACTTACTATTTAAATATTGTGCATTGGAAAAGTAAAACCTTAATGTATTTATAAACCTGTCGGTCGGTAAAGGACCAATGAACAGCTACATGACGTCACCACTAACGGCTCTAGACCAATCAGAGAGCGTGTTGACGTCCCGCCCTTCATGTGACAGCTGGAGGGATGGTCAAGTTTCACAGGTGGGAACCGGAAGCAGTAATCCTGCCTTCACAGTAAAAGCATCAGATAATCGTGGACGTATCTAAATACTCAAGCGGGACAAAGATGCGCCATAAGACTAGTTTATGGCCTCTCCAACCTCATACCCAGAAAGATTCGCCAGCCTCAACTTGCCAACACTAGAATTTCGACGCCAACGAGCCGACATGGTTCAAACATTTAAACTACTGAAAGGAATCAACAGCGTACAGTCTGACAGATGTAATGTATGTGGAACAGTATGTTTAAGAAATCCCTTAGCACCACTACGAGAGGCCACGACCTGAAACTACAGGTACAGCACCAGCCTGGTCCACGGAAACCTTTCTTTGCAAGCAGAACAACACCAGTATGGAACAGCCTGAGTCAAGAACCAGTCAGTGCCTCCTCAGGACCAGCCTAGGGAGAGAATGGCAACATCATCAAAGCCTACATCAATTCTCCTACTAGTTCACCGACCAGTCTCACGTATTGCGTTAATACAACTAACAAACCTGGAGACTCAACGAATTTCGGATGAGGATCAAGCCACCACCTTGGTAAAGGGTCTCACTACTCTAACGGGTACCTGATGACAGACACTACGCATCACGTGTGTGGAAGAGTTAAATGTGAAGTTTCATTTGAGATATTAATCATTTTTTCACTGTTGAACTTTGAAACACTCAGCTTATTTTGGAATCTGTGACCGGAAGCGTGAATCGCGCGGACCCCTTTGACTGTGAGTGTCGCGCGGAGGTTCTGTGTTCATCGGTCACGGTCTACTAAACATCTCCCATCATTCCTCGTTTCTTTCCAACATGGCGGCCGCCATCCGCCTCCTTCCCGCCGCCGTCACGCTCGCGCTGTTGTCTTGTTTTACCTCCGCGGTGTCCTCGCGCAGAGACGTGCTCGAGCTCGGTGACGCGGACTTCGACTACCTGTCAACGGGGCACGAGACCATGCTGGTGAAATTCTACGCTCCATGGTAACGGTTAGCTTAGCATAGCTAGCTCATGAGCAGATAACCGTGTTGTTATATTGTGATGTAATAATGGCGGACATTCATCCTCTTCCTCTCCTCCACTCATCCCTCTGTCCTTCCTTTCCTTACCTCCCCTCCTCTGTTTCCCCCATCCTCTGTTTCCCTCCTTCCTTTCTCCCCTCCTTCCTTTCTTCCTCCATCCCTTCCTTCCGTCCTTCCTTCCTTCCTCTCCTCTCAGGTGTGGTCATTGTAAGAAATTAGCTCCAGAGTTTGACAAAGCAGCCACGAGACTGAAGGGAAGCGTCCAGCTGGCCAAGGTAACATCTTCATCACCTTCACCTTCATCATCATCATCACACCTGTCTCACAGAGTGTTGACGTTAAGTAGAAGTCTGTCAATACATACAATACTGTCTCACCTGTCTCTTCCTGTCTTAGGTGGACTGTACAGCTCACTCAGAGACCTGTGGTCGTTTCGGGGTCTCTGGTTACCCGACCCTGAAGATCTTCCGGAACGGAAGAGACTCCGCCCCCTACGACGGACCTCGCAGCGCAGGTAAACAAAGAAACAAAGAAACAAAGAAAGAAACAAAGAAACAAACGTGTGTGTGTGTTTTCAGATGGGATCTATCACTACATGAATAAGCAGACCGGACCAGACTCAGTTCACCTGAAGACTGAAGAAGACCTCCAGACCTTCATCACCCACTACGATGCCAGTGTCGTAGGTTGGTCACGTGTTATTCCTACGTTATGTCACCTGACACGCTGTCACATGATGTCACCTGACTTAACGTGGCGTTTGATGTCATGTTACTTTATGTGACATTACTTTGCTTTCATTATGACGTTACCTGTTGTATCATAACAAGCTAGAAGCTAAGTCATGCTATGATACGTAGCGCCTCCTGTGTGGTTCTATGACCTGTGTGTGTTTCTGTGTCTCAGGTGTGTTTTCAGGTGCAGATGGATCTCATCTGTCAGAGTTCCTGAGAGCTGCAGCTCTGCTGAGAGAACAGTTCAGATTCGCTCACACTGCAGATCTCAAGCTGGGGGAGAAACACGGAGTAAAGTCAGAGTGAGTAGAAACACTGATCCTCATGGATTTCTTCAGCAGGTGGAACCTGATCAGAACCTCAAGCAAAGCTCTACTTGTATCAGGTGACGAGGATGTAAGTTGTACCTGCTGGAGAAGGACTTGAGATATGGCTGAAAGCTCCAGGAATGGCTCAGTAAGCTGGAGTTACTCGGTCACGTTACTCTGTCGTTACTAGGGTTGTCACGATACCAAAATTATGACTTTGATACGATACCTGCCATAAGTATCATGATACCGATACTTGCGATACGATACCAGAATTCGATACAATACCACAAATACGATACGATACTGGTATATTTATCTATAATACTAAAAAATAAAACATCTGTACGGTTCCCTTTTTTACCAGCTTGTTCCTGCCCAGCTTTTTGAACTCTTAACAAATGGCATTAATATTAATGTTTAACCTCTTCACATCTTTTGAGCCTCTCTCATATTTCCGCTGGCTTTCAAACACAGCTGAAGGGAACTCTGTCACTGTGTTGCTGCTGACTCTGCTGGCATCTGTCTGACAGTGGGAGTGGGTGGATAAACAATGCTTCATTTACTTGCATAGTGAGTTTGATATTTTCACTTCATATTTTATCTTAATTCATGGAATAATTTTTTTTCCTTAACTAAAAATAAAAATAATTAGCTCAAGATCCACCCGCAGGCTCCACCAGCATGGAGCCATTCTGCATCAATTATGTTTCATTTAGTTTCATTTGCATTGTGACCTCATGATCATATAGGCTTGTCCTCAAACTTGTCTAAAGCTACTCGTGTTAGCTGTATATGGGTGAGCTTGGGGGTGTTCATGTTTATAATCACATTTGCTTTGAAAAGTTGGGGGTGTCTGTCGTTAAGGTGCGTTGCCATGTTAGACATGTTGCCTCCCTTTGTCTGTGTGGCTTTGAAACACGTTTTGCAGACGGGTCTCTGTATGTCAGTGGGCTTTCCTTCACTGTCTGCAATGTAGCCAAAGTACTTCCAGATTTCACTTCTGGCATCTTTTTTTCCAACAAGCCGAGGACGGTCGGTAAAAGCTCCTGCACTTGATGCCATGTCTCCCCAGCGATCACTCGCTGTGAGTGAGCGCTGCCTGTTGCGTGTTTGAGCGCTGGGCAGCCCCGCCCCCTTGCAGTCAATGCGTGCAGGCAGCATGACAGGGAGCGGAACAGTGAGTGCGCTCTGATCGCGCTATTTTAATGAAGTATCGATACAAAAAATATGCAGTATCGTTTTTAACGTACGGGTACCGCGGTACCTTTTTTAGTATCGATACACCGTGCAACATTAGTCGCTACTCTGTCGCTACCCTGTGTCGCTACTCTCACGTTACTGTGTCATTACCCTGTGTCGCTACCCTGTGTCGTTACCCTGCGTCGTTACTCTGTCACGTTACTCTGTGTCGTTACCCTGTCACGTTACTGTGTCGTTACCCTGTCACGTTACTCTGTGTCGTTACCCTGTCACGCTACCTTGTGTCGCTACCTTGTGTCGCTACCTTGTGTCGCTACCTTGTGTCGCTACCCTGTCACGTTACTCTGTCGTTACCCTCTGTCGTTACCCTCTGTCGTTACCCTCTGTCGTTACCCTCTGTCGTTACTCTGTGTCGCTACTCTGCGTCGCTACCCTGTCACGTTACCCTGCGTCGCTACCCTGTCACGTTACCCTGCGTCGCTACCCTGTCACGTTACCCTGCGTCGCTACCCTGTCAGGTTACCCTGCGTCGCTACCCTGTCAGGTTACCCTGCGTCGCTACCCTGTCAGGTTACTATATAAAGTTACTTTGTGTTGCGTTACTTCATGTTACTGACAGCACATTTGTTCATGTGAATTGACGTTATATTTTTTATTTATTTTTCAGGGGTGTGTTGTTGTTCAGACCTCCCAGACTGTCCAATAAGTTTGAGGAGAATGTCGTGGTCTTTCAAGATTTCCTGACCATCGGGTCTCTGAGACGCTTTATCAGAGATAACATGTAAGACTCTCTCATTCACTTCAATATAGTTTGATCACAGCAGCATCTAGTGGCTAATACAGGAACTACTTGTCTCTCTCTCTCTACCTGTCGGTCTGCAGTTATGGTCTATGTCCTCACATGACTGTGGAGAACAGAGATAGTCTGAGAGTTCGTGACCTACTGACAGCGTACTATGACCTCGACTTCCATCGCAACATCCGAGGGTCCAACTATTGGAGAAACAGGTAACACACATGTACAGGTAACACACATGTACAGGTAACACACATCTCACAATCTCGACCACCTTTGTTTTTGTCGTTGAGCCCCGCCTCTTGTGTCTCATTTCCAGGGTGATGAAGATGGCATCTACATTTTCTAGGCGTGGCCTGACATTCTCTGTAGCCAATAAGAAGGACTTCCTGTTTGAGTTGGAGGATGACTTCGGCCTCGGGACATCAGACGGGGGGGACCTGCCGTTCGTCACCATCCGGACCAAACTGGGCCACAAGTACACCATGAGAGAGGAGTTCACGTACGTAACCAGGCTAATATAATACACCACGAGAGGGGAGTTCGCATACGTAACCAGGCCAAACCAGGCTAATATAATACACCACGTGTTGGGCCAATCAGATCTGTGATAACTCTTTTACATGATGTTTCAGTACTCAGATTATTGATTGTGGTCTCTGTGTTTCAGGAGAGATGGTCAGTCTTTGGAGAGGTTTCTAGATGATTATTTTGCAGGTCGACTCAAACGTTACATTAAGTCTGAACCGGTACCTGAGAGAAACACGGCTGCTGTGAAGGTGAGAATAAGACTTTTATCCTGATATGATCAGCATCTCTCAGGTCTGATTTCTAACTCTTTGACCCTCTGACTCTTTGACCCTCTGACTCTTTGACTGTTTGACCTTTGACTCTCTGACCTTGCAGGTGGTTGTTGCAGAGTCTTTTGATGACGTCGTCAATGATCGAGAGAAAGATGTTCTGATCCAGTTTTACTCTCGGTCCTGTTCACACTGCAAGAAACTGGAGCCGGTCTACAGAGAGCTGGCTGAGACGGTAGGTCATCATCATCATCATCATCATTAGAACATCTCTGTAGAACCACATGTCCCATCAGCCCTGTTACTTCTTTCTTGTAACTAAACACTGAGAGGATATCTAGTGGTTTAGGGTTCTAGTGGCTCTATAAATGTAATCCATGATAATCTCAGGACCAGAGTCCAGAAGCTCCTCTGCTGGTCCTAGTCTTCATTTCTCCGTGATGTAATGAGGACTCGTCTCTGGTCTCCATGTCAGCATGTCTTCATTGGGGGGGGGGGGTGACTGTGGCTCACTGGGTTAAGAGGGTTTGGCTGGGAACCGTTGTCAACGGTTCGATCCTCAACTGGGACGTGTCGAAGTGTACCTGAGCAATACACTGAACCCCAGGCTCCCCGGGCGCCTGTCATTGGTAGCCCACTGCTCCCTATAGGGATGGGTCAAATGCAGAGACAAATTTCCCCCTTAAACGGATCAATTTTATTTATTTATTATTATTATTTTTTTTTTCCTCTTTTCTTTTCTTCTTCCTCATGATGGATGTAATGAGGACTCGTCTCTGGTCTCCATGTCTTCATGATGTAACGAGGACTCGTCTCCATGTCTTCATGATGTAACGAGGACTCGTCTCCATGTCTTCATGATGTAGCAAGGACTGGTCTTCATGTTGTAACGAGGACTCGTCTCTGGTCTCCATGTCTTCATGATGTAACGAGGACTCGTCTCTGGTCTCCATGTCTTCATGATGTAACGAGGACTCGTCTCTGGTCTCCATGTCTTCATGATGTAACGAGGACTCGTCTCTGGTCTTCATGATGTAACGAGGACTCGTCTCTGGTCTTCATGATGTAACGAGGACTCGTCTCTGGTCTTCATGATGTAACGAGGACTCGTGTCTGGTCTTCATGATGTAACGAGGACTCGTCTTCATGATGTAACGAGGACTGGTCTCTGGTCTCCATGTCTTCATGATGTAACGAGGACTGGTCTTCATGATGTAACGAGGACTCTTCTCTGGTCTCCATGTCTTCATGATGTAACGAGGACTCTTCTCTGTTCTCCATGTCGTCATGATGTAACGAGGACTTGTCTCTGGTCTCCATGTCTTCATGATGTAACGAGGACTCGTCTCTGTTCTCCATGTCTTCATGATGTAACGAGGACTCGTCTCTGGTCTCCATGTCTTCATGATGTAACGAGGACTTGTCTCTGGTCTCCATGTCTTCATGATGTAACGAGGACTCGTCTTCATGATGTAACGAGGACTCGTCTCTGGTCTTCATGATGTAACGAGGACTAGTCTCTGGTCTTCATGTCTTTATGTCTTCATGTCTTTGTCTTCGTGTCTCCATGTCTTTGTGTTTGCATGATGTAACGAGGACTAGTCTCTGGTCTTCATGTCTTCTGGTCTCTGGTCTTCGGGATGTAACGAGGACTCTTCTCCGTCCTCAGCTGTCATCTGATCCAAACATCGTCATCGCCAAGATGAACGCCGCCGACAACGACGTCCCGCTGGGATACGACGTCCAGGGGTGAGAGCGGTTTACAGCTGGACGGGGATCAGGTCTTCATTCTGGTCTCTCAGAGGGATCAGGTCTTCATTCTGGTATCTGTCTCTCTGCAGGTATCCCACCATTTATTTTGCTCCAGTGGGGAAGAAGGACGAGCCCATCAGATACGAGGTGAACACACACTAGCTGTAGCTGTGTCTCAGTTCAGGGGCTGCATCCTCCGGAGGACCCAGCCTTCACGGTCTACGTGGGCCGCGTCCTTTGAGAACCGCGAAGGCTGGACCGTGCGGTCTCCGAAATGAGACGTTGTATGTGTGTATATATGTATATGTGTGTGTGTATATATGTATGTGTGTGTGTATATATGTATATATGTGTGTGTGTATATATGTGTGTGTGTATATATGTGTGTGTGTATATATGTGTATATGTGTGTGTGTGTATATATGTGTGTGTATATATGTGTGTGTGTATGTGTGTGTGTGTATATGTGTGTGTGTGT